CCCGATGGATAATTGCATTTCTCTTGAAGATGACACCAGTCCAAGTGTCGGTAACAACCCAACTGTCAGTGAGGGTAGTGTCTCTGCAAGGGGTAAAAGGCCGATGGGTAGGAAATCTGCAAAAGAATTATTCCAGAGAAATCAAGTCATTGAAACTGAAGTCCAAAAAATGAGTATACAATTGGACACATTTAACCAACACCTTGCTGAGAAAGAAAAGAAAAAAGAGGAAAGAGAAGAAAAAAGGATTCAAGCACTACAGCAGATGAAAGAACTTGAGATGCAAAAACATGAGTTTGAGATAAGAAAGAAGAACACCAAATAATGACTACGGACATTTCTCATTTGGACCCTCAGATGAAAGCGTATTACACAATGCGAAAAAATGAGATTTTCACCAAGTGGTCCTCAAATGTAAGCAGCCCAAATTTTATTTTCCCTACCTCCTGATGAATAATTACGGGACAATGTATTTTTTAAATTTGCAATATCATTTATTTTTTGATGTAATTGTTAGTCTTTATTTGCAATGTAATTTTTATTTTGTAATGAAATTTTAAGTTTTGTTTTTATTTTTGAGTATTTTGTACTTCACCATGTAATATTATTTTTTCAATGTATAATGTTCACTAATTTGTATTATAATTTAATATTTTCAATAAAGTATAATGCAAAAAAATAAATATATTTTTTCAAATGAAGGCAATAAAAAGATAAAATATATTAGAATAAAAAGACATTGTAAAATAAAAAGACATTAAATGAAGAACATTTTATTAGAATAAAAAGACATTAACTGACATTAACTGTCATTAAAAAGATAAAATGCAAACTTAATCTAACTCTCCAGCTCGGGACCACAAGTGTTCAATTAGATCATTACGAATTACATTATGGGCTTCAATAGATATAATCCTTTGCCGATTCAACATAAATTGAGCATACTCCTCATTCGGATCGCGTGACACTTGACAGCCCAAATTACTGGTATCAGTCTCAAGTTGTGCTGCACTGCGTTCATTTTCTGGAATATCACGCTCGTCTTCAATGATCACGTTGTGCAAAATAATGCACGTCTTCATGATATAGTACAGATCCTCATCACTCCAACCTCTAGCTGGCACGCTGACAATATTAAATCGTGCTTGGAGCACTCCAAATGCCCTTTCGACATCTTTCCGACATGCCTCCTGCATCCTCGCAAATAGTTGTCTCTTTGCATCTTGAGGTTGAGATATTGTTTTCACAATCGTTGCCCAACGAAGATAGATATCATCAGCAAGATAATACCCCATGGTGTATGCGTGATTATTAATGGTGTAGTTGGCAGCAAGGACACGTCCTCTAGTCAATTCAGCAAATAAAGGCGACCTGTCAAGAACAATAATATCATTTAGAGCGCCAGGCATGCCAAAGAAAGCATACCAAATCCACAAGTCATAGGAGGCAACTGCGTCGAGTACAACTGTTGGTTTGTGATAGTGTCTAGTGTCAGCACTGGCTTGGGCACTTGGACATTTATCCCAACGCCAGTGCATACAATAACATTCCAGAAAACCCGCGTTGCTCTCCCTCTTGCAATAATCTGGCGACATCTACTTCATTTGGAGATCTTAAGTAAACGGCTTCATAGGTAGCAACAATTGATCTGGTAAAAAAAATTTAAGGCGGCAATTGCAGTACTTTCGCTGATTCTAATGTACTCGTCTACAACATCAGCAGGCACGCCGATTGGAGGATCCGAAGTGCTACAGTCATCTTCTGTATACCGGATAATCCAAGAGCACCAGTGGCATCACGAGTTTAGATGAAGTACTCATTCACTTGTTGAATATCGTGCAAGATACTAACAAACAATGACCGCCTCATTCGAAAACGTCTTCGGAAGTATTCTTTTGGATAGACAGAATTATCTGCAAAATAATCTCTATAAATTTGTTCGTCACCTTTGACCCTCTCACGATTAATGTATCGACGACCACTTGTGGAACCAACATGTCTGGTTTGTTGGTTTAAACTTAAGATCTGTAATCTTTGTTGTTGCGCTGTGAATAGTTGCATCAGATGATGAAGATTCATCAAAATCTCCATTTAATATGGCTTTACTCAAATTGTTCATTGTAGGTTGATGGGTGAGTAAGTGAATATGAAAATTGTAGAAAATCTTCTTGGTAGGTACAGAGAGTTTTGAAGATATGAAAATAATAAGTAGGTGAATATGACAATTGTAGAATACCTTATGTTATATTTATAGAGAAAATTGTGGGTGAGTGAATGATGGATGGTTATTGGGTGGGTGAATGAATAATGGATGGTTGTTGGGTGGGTGGATGAATGATGGGTGGTTGTTGGATGGGTGAATGTGAGTGAATGAATGCTGGGTTAATAATGGATGGTTGTTGGTGGTTGATTGTTGGTGGGTAATTAGTTTTAAAATTATTTATTATGTGTAGTTAAAAAAATTTATCAAATATGTAGTGATATGTTTTTTGGTGGGGTGAATTAATCAAACAAATTTTTTTTTTCCAATTTTTCATTTTTTTTAATTTTTTATATTTGTCTAGTTGGGAATAATATAAATATATAATTTTTTTAACAAACAGGTAAAAAAATGTCACAAAAGACAAAAAAATAAACAAAAATAAAATCACAAAAAACCTATATCCAAACAACACCTACAAAGTTGGAGGGAAAGTTGGTTGAGATTTGCCAAAAATAGCAAATGACCATTGGAGCACCATTGCTATAATTTGGCAAAATAACATTATTCATTGCCAAATTATAGCAATAGCAACCCCAATATAGCAACAATCATTGAAAATGCTCTAAGTCTTATATTATTATTTTTTTAATAAAGTTATTCGCACGAATTGATATTAATTAGTATACTAATGAATGATGTATAATTTTAAAAAATTTAAATCTATATAGTTTATATAATGGGTGAGACTTATAATTTTAAAATGACAGTGTAATATAATATATGTTGATATATTAATTAATATACCAATTATAACTTGGGGGGATTTTATGGCCAATTTTGGAAAATATGTTAAAAAATTATTTTTTTGACTTTTTTTTAAAAAAAAATTTAAAAATGTACAAAAAGATAAAAAGATAATTTGACTTAAAAAAGCCAAAAACTTAATAAATTGACTTTTAACTAATTGCCAAAGAAGGCATATGCCCTCGTTTGGCATGAAATTATAAGATTAAAATAGCCATAAAAAGATAAAATAAACTAAAAAATTAATAAAATAAAATATCACATTCGAACCATAATTATTTTATTTTCTCTCTCATAAAAAATTAAAAAGTTAAAAAACTCAACCCAAATAAGCTTTTAATCCCAAATAAAAAAAACAAAAATTAAAAAGTCAATGTATAGGTTGAAGTGTGAACGTCATTGCATTTATAATTAGGGTCCTGTTATGGTGTGCAACCCTTTAAGGTTGCACACCATATGCCACTAACACAAAAGGCGTAAATGGAAGATATAAACATTAAACAGGACAGCAACAGAAAAAGCGTAAATGGAAGGCGTAAGTTGCACGCTTAAGAAAAACATTTGTACATAAACCCCTAGCGTGCAACAAGAAAAAACTTGTCAAAATAATATTGCAAGGGGTAAGCTCCCCTCAAAAAAAAAAAAAAATTAGATCCGATTCAACTCCAGCTCCGATCACCGCCATCGCCATCGATCTTCCTCCTCCGCCATCACCGCCATCACAGTCTTCTTCTCTTCCTCCTCCTTCTCCCCATCTTTTCCCCTTCTTCTCTCTTCCTCTTCTCTTCTCTTCTCTTCTCTTCTCTCTCTTGCCTCTGTGTCTGTGTTCAAAAACAAGAAAATGAAGAAAAAGAAAAAAAAGGAAGAAAAGGAAGAAAAAGAAAAAAAAAATGAAACTCAAAATGATATCGTTTTGAGTTTCGAGTCAACAATTTCAAACCCTCAAATAATTTTTAATCAAAAAATTAAAAAGTCAATGAATACGTTGAAGTGTGAACGTCATTGCATTTATAGTTATAAACATTTGTACATAAACCTCTAACAGTGCAACAAGAAGTCAATGTGTAGGTTCAATGTACAGGTTGAAGTGTGAACGTCATTCCATTTATAATTATAAACATCTGTACATAAGCCTCTAGCAGTGAAACAAGAAGTCAATGTATAGGTTCAATGTACAGGTTGAAGTGTGAACGTGATTGCATTTATAATTATAAACATTTGTACATAAACCTCTAGCGTGCAACAAGAAAAAACTTATCAAAATAATATTGTAAGGGGTAAGCTCCCCTCAAAATCTCTCTTTATATCTCTTTATATTTATATATATATATATATATATTTTTTGTTATTTTAATTTAAATTGATAATTCGAATTGTCTATTTGGTAAAGAATAATTTTATATGTACCAATTGTTGTACTAACTAATGTACCAATTGATAATATGGCATAATTTAAGAGATTTTTGAAATTTATAATATGATTAATGAGTGGGATCAATAATAATATCATAAATAGTGTTGATACACTAGTTAATACACTAATTGGTGCATGTAGCAATATCGTTTCATAAATCTCATATTTAAAGTTATTCATATAAAAAATTAATTTCATTCAATAACTATAAATATAGAAACATCATGGATGTGAGTCCAGATTGAAACTTACAAGAAGAATATAGAGAGATATGGAGAAATGAAATATGGAGGGGTGCTTATTCATGTGAGAAAGATATATAAAAAAAAAATAAAAGAGTAAAATTAACAATAACTTCAATCAAATATATATTAAAAAAAAATATATATGATGATTTCATAGAAAATCTATTTTTATCGACATAACACTGTGAATATAATTGCAAATCTTGCAAGAAAAATATATCAGTGTTGTTGTGCAAAAATTAAGATAGGAATTTACGTCATTCAAATGAGAAAAAGATATAAAGAGATTAGCTTTAGTTTTTTGCTTTTGTAATTCGCTGATTGTGTTATCTATGAAGACAATGAATGTAAATATCAATAAATATTTTTTTAACAAAAATTTAAAATTAAAAACTTACATTTTGACATGGAGTCATATGGTCCAAAATCATAGGTTGGGTTCAAGAATCTATTCAAATTGTTTTGATGCAATTTTTGACATAAATCTGTGAGAATATTAAACTATACATCAGTGTTTTAACATTAAACTACATACATCCGTGTTTGACATTAATTATGTTAAAAGATAAAGCAAACAATAATACAAAGTACTCAAAATCAAATTTCTTTTTTATCCCAAATACATCAATATGTGATGTGTCAATTTTATCCCTATTATTTCAATTTGTTCGATTTTACCCCTTAATTAACAAGGAAATTGTTCATGTAGTTTACACGATGTGTCAATTTTGTCCCTATTATTTTAATTTGCTCGATTTTGCCCCTTAATTAATAAGGACCAAATTAATACATTGTGTAAAATACAAGGACCAAATTGATATTTTGTTTTGACTTTCCGTTAAATTAACTTAACAACCATTATTTATTGGACTAAAATCATACAATCCATTTAATTAAGGGACAAAATCGAGCAAATTGAAATAATAAGGACTAAATTGACACATCGTGTAAATTATAAGGATCATTTGCATAATTTACCCTAAATAGCAATAAAGAATAGTTAAAATAAAAACAAATAAATAAATAAATAAATCAATGTGCTATTCATTGATAAAATAAAACTGAGTAAAATAAAACTGTGCTATTCTCAAGTAAAATAAAATAAAAAAGGAAAAAATGAACCTGAATGGCCAAAAAAAAACTGAAAATCTGTGTGATGTGATGTCGTACTCAAATTAAAATTTCATTCAGGCTACAAATAAAACTGTTCAACTTGTATATCAATTCATTTTTATATGAAAACTTTATCTAAATACTAAATAGCTAACAGTAATGTATTATTCGGATTTTTTGTTTTTTACTCAAATACAACAATGTTTTGACATTAATTTTATTAAAAGATCAAGCAAAAAGTAATACAAAATAGTCCCCCCCCCAAAAAAAAAAAATCAATGTGTGATTCATGAAGTTAAAAAGAAGAAGAAGAAGAAGAGGACAAAGGACAAAAAAAAAAAAAAAAAATCAATGTGTGTGATTCATGACATGTCAAAGAATGAGAAGGAGGAGGAGGATGGAAAAAAAAACAAGGAAAAAATTAACCTGAATAGCCAAATCTAAAAATTCGTGTGATGCCGTACTCAAACTAAAATTCGTGTGATGCCGTACTCAAACTAAAAATTAACCTGAATAGCCAAATCTAAAAATTCGTGTGATGCCAAATCTAAAAATTAACCTGAATAGCCAAATAAAATTGTCCAACCTGTATACCAATTCATTGTAATATGAAAACTTTATCTAAATACTAAATAAGCAAACAGTAATCTATTATTCAAAATAAAATAAAAAAAATTTACCCAAACACATCAATATCTGACATTAATTCTAGTAAAAAATTAGCAAAAAGTAATACAGAATTGTAAAAAAAAAATTAAATAAATAAATAAATTCAATGTGTGATTCATGATAAGTTAAAAAAAAATAAGGATAAAA